GGAGAAGAATTGCAGATCAAAGGTCCAGAAAATATACTCAACAAAATAATAGAAGAAAACTTTCCAATCCTAAAAAACGATATTCCTATGAAGGTTCAAGAAGCATACAGAACGCCGAATACACTGGATCAGAAAAAAACATCGCCTCACCATATAATAATCAAAACACAAAGAATTCAGACTAAAGAAAGGATATTGAGAGCTGCAAAGGAAAAAGGTCAAGTAACTTATAAAGGTAAACCTATCAGACTTACACCAGACTTCTCTAAGGAAACCATGAAAGCCAGAAGGTCCTGGATAGAGGTCCTGCAGAAACTAAGAGACCATGGATGCAAGCCCAGACTACTATACCCAGCCAAGCTACTGTTCACTATCAACGAAGAAAACAAAATATTCCAGGATAAAAACAAATTTAAAAAATACGTAGCTACTAATCCAGCCTTACAGAGAATATTAGAAGGAAAATCACAACCCAAGGAATCCAATATTCCCAACACTGCCTACACTAACTCAGACATCTAGCGACCCTTCACAAGCACAACTCAAAGAAGGAAAACACATACACTCTACTACCCAAAAAAATGACCGGAGTCATCAATCACTGGTCATTAATATCACTTAATATCTATGGACTCAACTCACCTATAAAAAGGCACAGACTTAGAGATTGGATATGAAAACAGGATCCAACATTCTGCTGTTTACAAGAAACATACCTCAACCACAAAGACAGACACCTACTAAGAGTAAAGGGTTGGGAAAAGGTTTTCCAAGCAAATGGACCTAAGAAACAAGCGGGTATGGCCATTCTAATATCTAACAAAATTGACTTCAAACTAAAATCAATCAGAAGAGATGGAGATGGACATTTCATACTCATAACAGGAACAATTCATCAGGAAGAAGTCTCAATCTTGAATATCTATGCCCCTAATATAAAGGCACCCACACATGTAAAAGAAACACTTCTAAAACTCAAGGCAGTCATCAAAGCACACACACTAATAGTAGGAGACTTCAACACACCTCTCTCACCAACGGACAGATCAATCAGACAGAAACCTCACAGAGAAATAAAAGATTTATTGGAGGTACTGAATCAAATGGACTTAACAGACATCTATAGAACACTCCACCCAAATAGGAAAGAATATACCTTCTTCTCTGCAGCTCATGGAACCTTCTCGAAAATAGACCACATACTGGGTAACAAAGCAAACTCCCACAGATACAAAAAAATATTAGTAACCACCTGTGTCTTGTCAGATCACCATGGATTAAAATTAGAATTCAACAACAATGCTACCCCCAGGAAGCCAACAAACTCATGAAAGTTGAACAGTCAACTACTAAATCAGCCCTGGGTCAAGGAAGAAATAAAGAAAGAAATTAAACTCTTCCTTGAATTTAATGAAAACAAAGACACAACGTATTCAAACCTATGGGACACTATGAAAGCAGTGCTAAGAGGAAAGTTCATAGCAATAGGTGCCCAATTAAAGAAAACGGAGAAAGCACACATTGGAGAATTAAAAGCACACTTGAAAGCTCTAGAAAAAAAAGAAGCTGATTTACCCAGGAGGAATAGAAGACTGGAAATAATCAAACTGAGGCCTGAAATCAACAAAATAGAAACAGAGAAAACAATCCAAAGAATCAATGAAACAAAAAGCTGGTTCTTGGAGAAAATCAACAAGATTGACAAACCCCTATCCAAACTAATCAAACGGCAGAGAGAGCACATGCAAATTAATAAGATCAGAAATGAAAAGGGGGATATAACCACAGACACAGAGGAAATTCAGAGAATCATTAGATCTTACTACGAAAGTTTATATCCCACAAAGTTGGAAAATGTAAAAGAAATGGACATTTTTTTAGATAAGTACCATATACCAAAGTTGAACCAAGAACAGGTGAACAATCTAAATAGACCTGTCAGTCGTGAAGAATTAGAAGCTGTTATCAGAAATCTCCCTACCAAAAAAAGCCCAGGACCAGATGGTTTCAATGCAGAATTCTACCAGAACTTCCAGGAAGAGCTAATTCCTATACTCCTTAATGTATTCCATAATATAGAAACAGAAGAGTCATTGCCAAACTCCTTTTATGAAGCTACAGTTACCTTAATACCAAAACCACATAAAGACACAACCAAGAAAGAGAATTACAGGCCAATCTCACTCATGAACATCGACGCGAAAATTCTCAATAAAATCCTGGCAAACCGAATCCAGGAACACATTAGAAAAATTATTCATTATGATCAAGTAGGCTTCATCCCAGAGATGCAGGGCTGGTTCAACATATGCAAATCTATCAATGTAATCCATCATATAAATAAACTGAAAGAAAAAAACCATATGATCATTTCATTGGATGCTGAAAAAGCATTTGACAAAATTCAACACCCATTTATGATAAAGGTGTTGGAGAGACTGGGGATACAAGGATCATACCTAAATATAATAAAAACA